CACGGGGGCCCGGGCCCGTATGGGGACACTGGGGACACAGGGGCCTGCCCATATGGGGACATTGGGGACACTGGGGAGACTGGGGACCTGCCCCGTATGGGGACACCGGGGATATGGGGGACACTGGGGACCTGCCTTGTATGGGGACATTGGGGACACTGGGGACACTGGGGAGACTGGGGACACGGGGGACCTGCTCATACGCGGATACTGGGCACACTGGGGACATGGGGGACCTACCCATATGGGGACATTGGGGACACTGGGGACACTGGGAACACTGGGGACCTGCCCTGTATGGGGACATTGGGGACACTGGGGACACTGGGGAGACTGGGGACACGGGGGACCTGCTCATACGCGGATACTGGGCACACTGGGGACATGGGGGACCTACCCATATGGGGACATTGGGGACACTGGGGACACTGGGAACACTGGGGACCTGCCCTGTATGGGGACATTGGGGACACTGGGGACACTGGGGAGACTGGGGACACGGGGGACCTGCTCATACGCGGATACTGGGCACACTGGGGACATGGGGGACCTACCCATATGGGGACATTGGGGACACTGGGGACACTGGGAACACTGGGGACCTGCCCTGTATGGGGACATTGGGGACACTGGGGACACTGGGGAGACTGGGGACACGGGGGACCTGCTCATACGCGGATACTGGGCACACTGGGGACATGGGGGACCTACCCATATGGGGACATTGGGGACACTGGGGACACTGGGAACACTGGGGACCTGCCCTGTATGGGGACATTGGGGACACTGGGGACACTGGGGAGACTGGGGACACCCCCCGAGCCTGGGGACATTCAGGGGACGGGGACGTCCCTGTGCCCAGCCTGGGGACCCCCAGAGAGCAGGACTGTCCCCAAACCTGACCTGATGCCACCTGGGTGGCAGGACTGTCCCCACGTCCACCTTGGTGACACCGAGACCAGGACTGTCCCCAAACCTGACCTGATGCCACCTGGGTGGCAGGACTGTCCCCACGTCCACCCCGGGTGACACCCAGAGACCAGGATTGTCCCCATGTCCACCTTGGTGACACCGAGAGACCAGGACTGTCCCCATGTCCACCCTGGGGACATCTGAGCAACACGACTGTCCCCGTGTCCACCTTGGTGACACCGAGAGACCAGGACTGTCCCCCCGCCCACCCTGGGGCCACCCAGCCACAACCGTCCCCACCG